TCCAGTGGAGTCTGAGCGGTGGGTGTTGCCTTCTGACACGCTCCCGGTGATGTCAGGGGGCGTGGCACATGCAAATGAGTTATGCTAATGAGTTATGGTAAGGAGCCCCCTGCCCCTCTTTTCCTACGAAATGGCCCCTGCAATCCACCGTGTTACCAAAAGGACGCCCCCGGCGGCAGCGCCCAGCCCGCGAGAGAGGAGGAAGCCAGCAAAGGAGCAGGCGGCGAGGCCTGTTGCCAAACAGAGACGCTCACCGAGCCGCTTGCAGGACAGGGCCGAGCAGTGAGCACCCAAGTCGGGGAACTCCATCCGGCGCCGCTCGTGAAGCCGGACTCGCGCCGGGGTGGGTGGGAGAAAGGGCACCGGAAGAGAGGCGCCCGGAGGGGGAGCAGCAGCACCACCCGAGACGGCGACTCTCGGCGGCCAACAAGGAAGCCGGAGGTCGGGGCGACGTGGAATGACGTCATCGAGTCCACGAGCGGAAGTGGGTGGGGCGGGACGCCCCACCCACTTCCGCTCGTGGCCTCGATGACGTCATTCCACCGCGACCACGCTGCCCCCGGCCCCTCGGCTTCATTCCGCGGCGCAGGAAAGGCGCCTCTCGCTTCCCTTCAGCCCCACGGCATTCAGGGAGATGTAGTGTGAGAGGTTAGGCCGAGTGAGACCCCCCCCCAACTATGTTTACTTTTATTCTATTTTTCTGGCCTCTAGAGGGCGCTGTAGGCTGGCCGTTCTAGACGCGGAGTCGGAGCGGTGCGTGACGGGACTTGTAGTCTTCACGCTGAGAGTCCCCCGCCCTCCTCGTTTGCAGCAGGGCCCCCTCGAACACGCCCTGTTCGCTGAGGGAAGGGTCTGTGTGTGTGGCGGGGGGGACGCGCCCCCGCGCGCGCTCTGGGAACTGCCGCACGCGGTACCCTGACCCCGCCCTGGGCGGAAGTGTCTCCGTGGCAACGCCGGGCGGTTCCGGAGGGAGGGGGCCGAGTCGGCGCCCGCCCGGGAGCCGGTAAGTTTCGGAGGGGCTTTCGGGGGACCCCGCGCGCCGGTAACTTTGCGGTCCTCGCTCCCCTCTTTCTGACCCGGGCGAGGAACTCCCCGGTCATGCCCGGCCCCCGAGCGAGGTCGCCGCGCCGGGCTTGAGGGGCGGTCCGTCGCTGGGGTTGCCAGCCTCCAGGTGGGGCCTGGAGACCTCCTGCTTTCCCAGCCGGTCTCCAGCTGACAGGGATCAGCTTCCCTGGAGAAAATGGCTGATTTGAAGGGTGGACTCTTATGTGGCATTGGACCACGCTGAGGCCCCTCCCCTCCCCAAACCCCGCCCTCTCCCGGAATCACCCCCAAAGACGCCCCCCCGGGGGCCCCTCCCCCCCCCCCCCCAGGCTCCGTCCCCAAACCTGCCGGGGCTTCCCAGCCTGGCTCTAGTGGCAACAGTACCCCCATCACACCCTGCCCCCGTGGCTTGTGGGGAGCCTGGGCGCATTTGGAGCACCACCACCCCCAGGCCTGTAGCTACAGCGGGGCATCTTGGGGCCTGGCCCCCCGACTTCCCATCCAGCCCAGCCACCCTGAAAAATTCTTATTTTAATTTTTTGTGCTGCAGCACACCATTGCCCTCATTGAGCCTGCCTGCTGGAGTCCCACCCCTGCCCTCAAGCTGTTACCTTGCCAGTCAGCTCTGCCTTCCATTCTCAGACCACCAGACAGGACACCACTGGATGGGGTGTGCGGGGGTTTTTTTTTTGCCCCCTGACTTATTTAAAGGCCCCCTGAATTAGAAAATCCTGGCTACGGGCCTGCCCCCACCCCTGCAAGTGGGGTCTCATTAACTGAATCCCCCCCCATCCTCCTGGACCTGCGAGCACTCCGGTGTCACAGGGACCTGGGAATAAAAGGCCACCTGCCTGTATTAATGGGTTCGGGTCTGTTGTTTTAGATCACGTTTGTGCCGACAGTGAACAGTCTCTGATCAGATTCAAGTAGTAGGGGGAAGTGGGGGGGTGGTTCTGACCCCCGGGGGGGCTGTCGCGGGGCCCCTGATTTATCTCTCTTTTGCCTGCCCGTGTGTCTAGCCTCAGGCCCAGGTGTGTGGTCAGCAGACCCACCGGGCAGGCCCGTAGCCAGGAATTTTTTTAATTCAGGGGGCCTTTAAATAAGTCAGGGGGCATCCCATGCAGACACCCCCAACACTCCCCCAAGGGAGCACCACAAATAAAATAAAAAATTGGAATTTGGGGGGCCAGGCCCCAAGATTCCCCGTTGTAGCTACAGGCCTGCCGCCGGGCTGACCTCTTAAACAGTGAAGGGGCCGCCCCGCCACACGATAACTGCGCTTGTGTGTGATGGTGGGGCATGCAAAGAATGGGGGCCTGTTTCGCCCTGTTCTGCCTCTCCGTTGCTTCTGTTGCGCATCTTGCCTGTGGCTGAGAGGCATTCTGTTTTGGGAACCTTTGTTATACTGACCCAGCAGATTGCAGTGGGGAAGGCGACTGACTGACTGTATTTTATTGATGTATGTCTGTCGGCTGCCTGAATTTCCTACACGGACTTTCGTTCTCATTCCCCTCGTGTGCAGCCATTGCAGTGCTGTCTCCACCACTGCTGTTTTTAACATTTACTTTGCACTGCCACCATACCTGGCGCCCTGAGGAATGTAGACATGATGTAACTCCTTGCCCAGAGGGTTCAGTTTTCGCAGAATGCACAGGAAGTGGGCTGTGCATGAATACTAAAGATGGTAGTAAGGGGGGGGGTGTAGGATGGTTTTTGGAAAACTTTGCAGATATGGATCTTGAGGAAAGATTTAAAAGAGGAAAATACCTTGATAGGTTGATCTGACTGGAGGTTGGTTTTAAGCATAGAGAATTGTATGGCCAGAAAGGGGGGCAATAAGCTTTCATGAAAGGAAGTGTGTGTGTGGGGGGGGTTAAGGTAGAGGGAGATGAGGAGGCAGGAGATAAAAGTGGTTAAACCAGTGTAAACCCATTATAAATAGGGCTTAGAGGAGGGTGGCTGAATAGCAATGTTTTGGTGCCAGAAGGGGTGAGAAAAAGTGACAGAATCATGGGAATAAATAAGTGTAGGAAAAGATGTGGTAGTTCAGATGGAGAGGCAGCAGTGCAGAGAAAGGTAGCTTGTGCCTATTATTAGAGAGCTGCAGCTGTGTGGAAGTGATGTTGCTGGGCTTGTGCTTGGTGTAGAATTACCCAAACTGGTGAGTGACTTCGTAACCAGCTAGCTGTGGTAGAAAGCCTCCTCTGTTTTACCACTTTCCTTCTCTCATGGAAACTTACTGCCTCCCCCAGTCGTCTCCTCCTTTCACTCATTTTCTGGCTGTAGAATTCTCTACAATTAGCTTGTCTGTTTGCTCATTCTGTGTTCATGCAGTAATGTTGAGTCCCCCATTTTGTTGTAGATGATAAGTTGAGGCATGTTTAGCATTTCACATCCAGGTATTTACTTTTCAAGACTCCTTTAATGAAGCAATATGCCTCTCATGTTTTGTTAGCGCTCATAGTCAGAAGCCATAACATAATCTTGGTGGATTTCATATAGTGTAGCTGTTGCTGCATTCCGTGTTTCAACCTTGACAGTGCCTGTTACCTTGCTTCTAGTAGCATAACCTAAAGGTAAAGGTTCCCTTGCTCGAAAGCCAGTCGGATCCGACTCTAGGGTTGCGGTGCTCATCTCCGTTTCAAAGCCGAAGAGCCAGCGCTGTCTGAAGATGTTTCCGTGGTCATGTGGCCGGCATGACTAAACACCAAGGCGCACGGAATGCTGTTACCTTCCCACCGAAGTGGTACCTATTTATCTACTTGCAATTTCTTGCTTTCGAACTGCTAGGTTGGCAGGAGCTGGAACTAGAGACGGGAGCTCACTCCGTCATGCGACACACTCAGGTCTCGAACTGCGAACTACCGACCTTCCACAGCCTGCTGTTCAGTGTCTTAACCACTTGAGCCACCGCAGCTCCCTACTGTCAGCATAACCTACTGACAAGCTAAAAAAAAATCCAATGACATCCTTCTCTAAAGTTTCTCTACCTAAACAAACAATCAAGAACAAATTAATCTATTCATAGGCCTTTGGCTATATATTCATAGGCTTGTTTTAAGGCCCAGTCCAAAGACCCCCCTGGTACCAGTGCATTGGTGATGGAAGGGCTGGTGTTGCTTGTCAGAATCCCGTGCCTGATCACCTGGGCCTCACCAGCGTGTGGAGAGCACAGCAATTGCACTACGGCCCATAGGAACCCTGCCATCAGTCATAAAGTGCTATGGCTGTCATGCCTGGGATTTATATACTGTTTTGGAGGGCTGTGATTGACTGCAGATTTAGTCAGTGCCTGGGCTTGGAAATGGGGACGTGTGTGTGGGAACTTGTATTTTCATGTTGCATGCTTCCAGCGGGACTTAGAAGAAATAACACCAGGGCTGGCATTGATGTACATAGTATCGGCCAGGAGAGGCTTCAGATGTGAACCAAATTCCCCTGCATCTAGCATACCACTGAGTCCACCCATTTGGGCACTGCAGTTGCACTCCCACATCTTCAAGATATGCCAGCATAGGGTTTACTCACTATCCAAAGCTATTCAGGGCAGAGTTTAGTGATCTGATAGGTAACTTTTGCTCCTGGCTTTAATTAGATGCACAAAGCACATGTTTCTTAATAGTTTTTGGTACAGTGTCAAGGAACATAACTTTCTGGAGGTGTTTCTTGTGGAAATGAGGAAAAGTAACAAGACAACAACAACAAAAGCTAGAACTCTCTAGAAAAGAAACTGCAGCTTTATTGTTAATCACTTTTAATTTTTAGAGAGCTGTCAGCTCTCTGTTGCACAATTCCTTTCATTAGAATTGGGCAGTTCTGAAAATTACAGTGCTTGGAGATAAGTACACTCCTTCTTTATATAACATTTTATTTTTAAATGAGACAAACAAACATACCCAGATTGGGGGGTTCCATTTCATCACTAAAATATCTAGTTAAGTATCTCATACAATGTCTAAATATCTATTTTCTATCTTCCATGATATTTTTATGTATATTATTTTGCAATTAGTTTAAAATACAGTTGTTGTTTCTTTCAAATTGGTTACATTTCACTTTAATTTAGTTATAAAGTCTTAAGCATCTCTGTAGTCTTTCCAGTCATTTATAAGATCTTGAAAAATTGTATAGTCTTTTTTGTCCAAAGGGTTTTGGCCTTCTTCTCTTTAAAAATATGTGTAATCTCACATATCCAGAGAATTTAACCATTTTTATAGGGTTTCACCCTCTTCTTCATTCTCTGGTTTCTCCTCTTAATTTTAAAGTCTTAATTCTGTGTCTTTTCCCCTTGTATGTGAGGGAAATAGCTTCTGGAAGTAGCCCTCTATATTAAATTCTTTGGATGGTATGAGGTTCCATATATTCTTTACTTTTCTCTCTCTGAAGGAAAATTTCATTTGCTGCTGTAAACATTTCATCTCTTATTTTTTTCATATTATCTCACATTCACTTCTGCAAACATTTTGTTTCTTTTTTGTATATGTTGATTTTGTTCTGTAGGCCATGTCATTTTGCTTGCAGACTTCATCTGTATTTTCTGTGTCCGTATCTCTCACAAAGATGTATGCCATGTCAGTTTGCTCTTTCATCTGGCTGATCTTCTGCTGTAGTAGGTCTAGCTTGGATTGCATAGAGTCCAGAGCCATTTTCACAGCTTTTTCTACTATTGGAGTGATTGTTTCTTGTAAAGAAAGTTGGAGATCTGTAACCATTAGTGTTAGAATGTTTTTTCCTTCTTCTGCTCCAGCCATTTTAAAATATTATGCTAAAAACAAAGAATCTCTCCAACTATTTGTCAGTAAAATTTCTACAATCACACAACTGTATATGTTTACCCAATTATATTAAAAACAAGAGAATTCCCAGGCAGGGCAGACAGTCTTATCATTTAGTTGTAATACCGACTTAATCAGTTGTTTACAAGAACCTCAGAACATAATATACTTTACAATTTTCAAC